ATGTGTAGCATTCAGTGTTTCACCCCCCACAAAGACTCAGCCGCGAACAGCACGCTGGACTGGTGAAAGCCATGTTGCCCGAGTCTTTGTGGTGCTGCTGACAACCTTGCGTCAACTAGCAACAGTGAGGGCTTTGAGCAAGAGAAGGCACAGCGGCTCTATTCTCGTGTGGAAGAGCGAAGGACGAGTTCCAAACCACACGAGCCTCCTGAAATTGTGCCACTGCCACAAAACATGAATGATGCCCGGCATGTCGTCTTGGCAGCAAGGGCAAAGTCCTAGACCCGTCATCAGCCTCAGAAGTGAGCGACACACGCCATATCGAGAGCCTCGAGCTCTTGGAGTCTTGGCGAGCATCTGTGCCAGCTAAGGTGGCTATTCCCAGAGCCGGGCTGGCCACTGCCCAGGCGGAATACCTAGACAGTTTCAGAGGCAAAGGCTCGGTGTCCTGACCTCAGAGGCAGTTTGGTCTTGTTCTGCCATCATCGTGTCCTTTGGGTGGGGAGCGCTTGGTCCAGCCGAAGTGGCGGCACCTGCACGGTGCCCAGCCCAATGACCCGCGTGCGGGTCAGTACTTCAACACTCAGTGGACACGTTCACTTCTTGAGGGTAGTTCTCGCATTGCAGCACTCAATTCACGGTTTCATGCAGGTAGCAGACATCACAGGCAGCCTCGCCGCCTTGGCTCTTCTCGTCGCAGGAGCGGTTTCCGTCTGTACCACCACACCGCCACTCACCGCCGGTCTTGTGTTGGCGAGGGGCTCTGGTAATCGTCAATTGTGACGGCATTGCCAAAGGTTGGGACCCGACTGGAGTTATTAATGATAGTGGAACCCGTCGCATCCGGGAGTTGGCAAGGTCTGTCTGGTGAGTCAGCACGGGAAGTGGCATCAGGCCTGTCCGGCGATTTCGAAGCCGCGCTCTTCGCATGTCATACATGTCATTGCGGTCTATTCTGCAGACACCGCAGCCATCACCGGGCTCAAACACGGCCCTGTGCAGTGCTTGGGCATGCTCAAGCAGGCCATTGTCGAAAGCTTAGGGTCGAACTGACGATTGCTCAACAGCAAGTCCTCTTGATTTGACCATGTCCGGTACGAGTTAAACTGGCTACGTGGCATCGAGAACTGAAAAACAGGTCTCGGTCTTCTCGGCTGCATCTTTTTCTAGCTACGCTGATGTGGCTCACAGTTCACAAGAGGGCACTATGCAACGCGTTCGTAATAAATGACCAGTTGTGCTTGTGCGTTTTCAAATTCAGCAGATTTCTCAGCAGCCTCAGATTGCATGCATTGAAGATGTCGAACAAAACGCTCCAGTCCAAAAATACCAACAGCTGGAGCTGGACGTCCTGAGAATGCAAAGCATGAACTAGGTGAATCTTGCAGTAGAAAGATTGCCTGGAAAACTTCCCCCTGAATCTTCAATGTTCGGTTGGGAGTACTACACACAAACGGGCAAGACATACACGGAAGACTCCCGGAATCCCTTTCCCAAGAATGTTGAGTCGTCGAGTCAGGTGGTGCATGACAACATATCTCGTTGGAATGGATTGCAATGCACCCCTTCGCAACGGGTCCAGAATCTGTCAGCACTGCTCGGTCAGGTCGTGGTGCTTCATGCTCTCGTGAGACTTGTGCTGACAGACGAGCTAGTTAATCTGTACCATTGCCAGAACGGGAGGTCAATGTTTCTTTGGTTGATGCACTCTTGAAGATGCCCGTCCACTTGTCTGATCTGCCGAGGCATCCCGTGAGACCAGGCCAGAAGCGCGCTCGGAGTTGCGAGATGTTGCGAGCGTGAACTGACAGCCAGCGGGTCGACATCGTCCCTTCGGTCCTTTCGAATCGAGCCAGGTGTTCCACACCACTTCACTCCTGCAGAACGTTGCTCGTTCCTCCAGCCGCCAGCACTTCCCTTCTTTTGGGACCAGCGATGCGGCTGAACAGCACTCAGGGTTGCGAGCGGGCCCGGCGGGCCCGAGCCGGAGCCTTGGGACCTTGGGACCTTGGGGATGCTGGGAGCTCCAGGCAAGCTGAACAAAAAGAAGCCTGGGTGCTGGGCCGATGGCGTGCACGCGCAGTGCCGCTTCTGTGGAGAGGAGCCCTACACAGGTGAGAGTCTTCAGAAACCTCCGATTGCAAGTGCTGTGACCGGAGCCTGCAGGTTTTCACTCTTCAGAGTCACCAGCTTCATTTGCAACTGACGATTAGGAATTCGCACAAGTACCGTGTCACACCGCAGGCATTGCCTGCCCTGCAAACGCGATCGTTCCGAGTGCAATGACTGTCGCTGCGCAGCATGGGCCGTGAGGCTGTGAGTGGGCTCATTTGTTTGGCATTCTGTCAGATGCGCTATTCATCATCCAACCGAGGTCTGCAAATTTGACAACCCTCCCGTGACTCCCTTCTTCTGGGACTCCTCTTGCTTCATGGGCATGAAGGGCTGCCTGGCAGACGGCAAACACATCGGATGCAGATTTTGCGGAGCAGGCGCTGGCGACTGAGAGACTCTGCCCGTAAAAAGCCATCATGGGCCGTGGCTGAGCTGCTGCGCCCGCCAGGCAATTACTCTGACATTCAGTGCCCTGCGAGTGTCTGCAGCTTCGCCAATGAGCCCTGGACGCCCTACTACTGGGATGACTTTTGCCAGTGGGGCATGCTTGGACCGTGCTTGAAAAACTTTCCAAGTACTTGCAGCATGTGTGCGCGTCTACTGTACTTTTTCGCTCGCCATGTGTACTCTGCTGGGCAGGATGCAATGCGGACGGCCTTCACATCCAGTGTCGCTTCTGTGACAAGGCTTGGCCAAAGTTTCGCAGCCCTGACGAGATCTGACGAGTGTGGAGCAGTTTCTGGATCTATCTCCCCTTTAATTTACTGTGCCCTTCGTTGCTGGGACGACTGCAAACAAAATCCAACGAAGCCGGATCTCATTTTTTCAAAAAGACGCGTCCCATCATGCCAAGGTGCCGTTCCAGGTCATTTCCTGCCCAGAAAAAGCTCGACCGGCTTACCCTGACGGGTGTCTTGATTGTCCTAGTTGGCAGGGCTTAGCAGCGTCAGTTCAGTCCTGTCAACTGCATCATTTGTCGGATGGGAGCCAGTACGAGCACCCCCTGTGCGAGGAAGTGCTGGTTCCCTGCAGGAGCACCGCAGGGCCAAAGCAGCGCGCTTGCATACAAGCAGTCAGCCATAGTCAGCTGTTTTCAGAGGTTGGCCGAACCAGAGGTCATTTCTGGGACGAGACGTGCAAATGGGGCCGCACGGGATGCTGGGCTGACGGAGTGAATCGCCAATGTCGATTCTGCGGCAGTGGCGCCTACGCTTCCCAGCCTTGCAAATATCTGCAGCTTCTTGAGCCTCTTGAGCCTTGAGTTCGCGGGCAGCTCTCAGCACAGGTGAACATTCTCTGCCCGAACGGAACTGAGACTGAGACTGTCCCTTGAATCGTGGCTCGTCTGAAGCTCCCTCTTCTGGGCTGAAGCGGAAGCGTCGAGACCTGCAAGCGGTTGTGTCATGGAGGCATTGGCTTTTTGGCGTCGCGGTGCAAAGAAAGTGAACGCCTTTTATTTTCCTTCGAACTTTTCGGAGAGCTTTGCTGGGAGGCCCCAGCCTCTTCCATTTTGTCGCAAAGATCGCTCTCCAAATCCTAGGTTTCTTCTTGTCTGCAGCTGCAGGCTGCTGCAGGCTTAGAGATAATGCCCGTGCAGATGAGCCACAAGTGCTCAACAGATCGATTGGTCACTTGCCGCCAGCATGGAGCTCATGTTGGCAGGATTGTGAGTCGGCAAGCTGACATGGCTAAGCTGCAGCTGGGCAAGAACCCACATCTGCAATAATGAATTACTGGCTGTAGTTATTATATGGATCCTGCCGAAACCCTGGGCTCCACACGACTGAAGCCGTGAACGCCAGACACCTGTATAGCGCATTCCGATCGGCACAAAATGCAGGCTGCGAGGTCACTCCTGTACAGCACTTGCATGACCCCGATGTGTTATTGATTTTTGTGGCCGTCGTGCTGGCACGAAGTCCAAAGAATTTGGAAACCCAGCGATGGTCTGGTCACAATTCATGCGTAGGTCGTTCAGGTGATGTTGAAACGCTGTGGCCGTGAGGCACCTCACGCGCTGCGATCATTTTGAGAACTCACCTGGCCGAAGTGGCAGCGGGCCCGTGAAGTGGCTCGGCGCACAACGAATCTCGACGAAGAGACGACGCAAGCAAAGCCGCTCTTGGGAAGGTCTGCCGTTTGCAAGAAGACAAGAAGTGGGTCAACTCGTTCTCCAATGCTCGGATGCAGATGAAGACCGTCCGCTGCTGCCAGGTGATGCTTCGGAAGGCCTGCGCCGCTGCTTTTAATTCTGTTTTGTTTGAAAGCCAAAGTCGACACCAGTCTCGGTCAGTTCTATTTCCACCCCTTTCGCGATTTCGCACATGCTCTCTCCTGATGTGATAAGCCCTTGACCAGGGTCCGGTAGCGAGCGTGCCGCCGGAATTGGTTCAGCGCTGGCCGTTTGGATCCCAGTTCGCATGTGCGCCGAAGTTACCTGCTGACTACTTCGTCCGGCTTCGCACGATGTGGAGTCCCAGACAGCAAGGGTTAGCTTCTTAAAGGAGTATCGAATTGGGATAGGCAGAAGGTCTCATGCCGTCCAAGGACGGCGCCAAAAGCCCATGGAAGCTCAGCGGCTTCACTCGGTCACTTGATTTTTTGCTCGAAAGCAAAGATCTGCGAAGCTGTTTGCATGCACATGGCTGCTCGACTACTGTACGCTTTACAAGTCCATGCGTGTGCTTCGAGCAATCATGTCTCAGCATCACAATCGCAAGTTCAGCTCGGCCCTTCACACATGCAGGTCTAAGCATGGCATGAACCGAGGGAGAATTCAGAATGCCTATTTCAGCATTACGATACGGGTCGCGCTGTCATACAAACAGCAGGGAGCTGAAGTCTGGCACCAAGGTTGGTGTCTTTGGGGGCTCGGTGCGCGGGCCCCATCTTGGTTGCCTCTGCGAAGGTCGTGGAGGTCGATATACTACCTTACTACCTAAGTCGCCGTTGAATCCTTGCGATTTCTTCTACCCATTAGAAACTGGAAGAAGTCGGAACACTATAGGCAGGGCAAGTTCTGGCTGAGCTTTAACCAGGCTCGTCCCCTTCAAGTTCATCCCGCCGGAGTCAGCTGGCCTGACAGCCATACCCTCCTTCGGTATAGGCCGGTCGTGGGACAAATGCGAAAGTGAGCAAGAGAGAACCCACGTTGTGAAACAGAGCCGCTTCTAGCAAAATGCTGGCTGGCAGATACAGATCGCAGAAGTGCAGAAGTGTAAGTACAAGGGCGTTGTTTAGACCGCACCTGGTAGCAAGTAACATGGGACATGAATTGCAAAGGCATACATAGCACACACGAGCCTCGTGTGTGCCACAAGTAACACCGAGTGCCGCCCTTTGTGGGCTCGCTTGCCTTCCAAACGGGACACACACATCAGGACTACGGCCCCACTGGACGGTCACTTCGCTTCGTGCTTGTCCACCATGTCTTTTCATGCCTGCTCAACTCTTTGAGGCTGTTCGGCTCTGTTTGGAAGTTTCGCTGGGGGAAATGTGATGGTGTCACCAAAGTTTTCCTGCCTGTCCGTTGAGTCCGCAGTTCGTGTTGAGGTCTCCGAGATGATCCATGTACAGCATGTACCCTTTCCGGTCTTAACTTGAGATGCCACAAGCCAGCTACCCTCCACCAGATGGGACCTGCTTGGTGAGGCGCACTGGTGGCGGGCGTGCTGGTGACCTTGGCATACTGGCCACTCGCCGAATGTGAGGTGCCATCGAGAGGCGTGGTTTTTCAGTTGGCAGCCGAGGAAGGGCATCAAGCAGGAGATGCAGAGTGGAGGACTTTCCATGTCTACTTGTGTGCACAGACGTTGCAAGCAGGAGAAAGACTGGCCGACGTTTGCCGCGGATCAAGTGCTGGCAGGCTTTGACACGACAGGACCCCTGAGCCTCTGCCTTGCGCTCTTGCGAGGCTTAGCCAGCGGATTAATCTGGAACGCTGGCAATGTCTGTCGGGGTCCCTTTTTGTGGCGACATAGGCGTCGCCTTAGACTCGCGCTGTCTGTCTGTCTCTTGCCTCAAGGCTCAGTGATTGCGCAAAGTCCACCCTTCTCTTTGCCGTGCCCCAGCGCTCCGTTGCCCAGACGATCGGATATCGTTGCAGCTTTGAGAAGGTCAGAACATTCGCGACTTGGAAGTTGTGCAGGTACGGTGTGGCCTACCCCATCCTACAGTGTGCTCTGTTTTTTGGCGGGCTGTGGGGTATCTACGCCTTCAAGGCCAGTTGAATAGATATGAATGCTTGTCATGCCTTTGTTCACGAAGCTTGGACGAGAAACATCAAACCCAGCCGGAGCATCTCCGAAAAGCCAATACAAGCCATTCGCTCTCCAACATCATTTCGGGCCCGTGGCCACAACAGCAGCACAAGTTTTGTGATCACAGGGCTGCAGGGAAACAGGGTCTCGAGGACTTCTTAGCTACTGTGGTTCTGGGATCGGCTGCCGCCGAAGGGAAGCAAGTGCAGCTCACGATGTGGCCTGGAGTCGCAGTTGGTTCATGTCCTTGCATTCTGCAGGAGATTGTGGGTTCCGCAGTTGCCGTTTTCTGGTCAGGAGCTCTGAGCTCAGAAGGTTTTACAGGCGAAGTGTGCTGAGCGCGGAACACATCATAGTGCGGAGGCTGTGACCCTAGCGGTGGGCATCGTGCTCCTGAGCCTCTACGGCCCATCGGGGGCTGCATGATCTGGAGACGGAGACCAGGTTCCCGCTGTAGAGCGCCAGCATGCGCTAGCACTTCCGCTCCGGCTTCTGCATGGTCCCAGGACCCGCCCCCGGCACCTGTGAGAGCTCGCATTCTAGCGAGCACAGGAAAGTCCTTCGGTCAGTGCTGTCAAGTGCATCGTGACAATGCGGTAGTGTGTGAGACCGCGTGAGACGAATCCGTGCCGTGTGCAGCAAAGTGCTTGTGCCTGAACCTCTTGGTGGATCAGGGTGGGCCCCACGCTCGGTGCGGCATAGTCGCATGGTGCCATGATGAGGTGCTCCTTGGAAAAGAGACGGCAGAAGCCTTCGGTGCGGAGATGAGTTCGAGCCTACAGTATATTTCCCGGTCACAGAAGCATGCGACTAAGCGGGTTCGGAATCTCAGGGCGCTGCCTGGAGGAGCAGGTCCAACGTCGTGTGGCCAAGCGGGTCTGTCTGCCGAGCTTTGAGCGGAAGCATGGTGTAATCCGACCGGCATTTCTCAATGCCCACAGGCCCTATGCAATTCCGATGCTGAAGTACTAGCTACTTACTAGAGCTGAGCAAGACAAATTGCTGAATGCCAGGCACGCATGTCTGCCGGCCAGGAGCTGCAGGAGATAAGCCCGAGCCCAAAGATACCTAACACAGGCTTGGACAGGCTTAATTAAGGTTGAAGGCAGTCGCAGGGGACCTTGCCTAACAGTTCGCACTCCCGCCAAAGATGCCGCAGCCAGGCCTCTGAATTGATTCCGCGGACTGGCGTTATACTATGCCTCGACAAAGCCAGCCGTCTGTTCATTTCCCTCCTGACCCAACTACTAATTCATACTACAAGTCCAAATGCCGCGAGAACAAGTCCTCGTCCGAAGACCATGGCGTTGCAGTTTGAGTTGTTTCCGTTTTCGTTTTACCATCACGTTGCAGACAAGCTAAAGCCGCTAAAGCCATGCCATCTCCCTCTTGAGGTGCGCTAGAGGAGTCCTGGGCCCAGAAAGCTCAACTGCAAGCATTTGTCACCTTGACGCGCCGTACTCTCACAGTCAATGCAGGTTCCCCGAAGATTTCACCGGGGTGCTGGACGATGGATACGGGCCCCTGGCTCAAACACGAACCCGTCTGCATCACATGACTGAAAACCTGCTGATGCACGGCTCTTGCTCCTAGGTAGTGCTGGCACAGGCGCTCCATGAGCTGGCAGTAGCACTTCTTTGCAAAACAGGGTGTGTAGCAGAAGCTTGTTTTGGAATGCAGCGGCGTGGAGCCTTTTGCGGCACTGCTGATAAGCGGCCTAGTCGCCAGGAGGAGCCAACACTAGCCCTCCGCTTGAATGAATGCGATTCGCTTCAGATGTTCCCGGCTCGAGCATATTGGCCAACTGCCCTACATCTGCTCGGGCACCTGCTTGCAAGGCTTCCCCATTGGGTAGAAGAAGCGCCCGCGGGCCGCATTGTGCTCAGCACAGGTGATAGATGGGCAACTGTGGGCTTGGAGCTTGGGCTGACGATGAAGGAGAGCTGACACAGGAGAGGCAAGGACGTGCTTGATTCGTTCGCACTTCGCTTCTTGCGTTGAGATATCTCTGATGGGTACCACTAGTGGCGGCAGTGAGTTTCAACCACTGGCTGCAGGCTTGTGGAAGCCGTGGAGGAGATGAATGTTGATGAGGCTGCAGTTCTCCCTCCCGTCAGAAATAAAGTGTCTTGCAATGCTGCGATTGCGCGTCAGCCTCTGCCAGTGCGAGGTTGAGAGGTGCCTCAATGGCGGAGTGCCGGTCAACAAGTCAATCGATTCAAAGGCCGGGCAATGACCAATTAACGTCCCGTGGATTTTTCGAGATGTGTCTGCTTTAGCCCTAGGCCTTGCTTGTATAGTCCTCAACGACTGCTTGCACATGCAGCAATCCAATCGTGGTTTGTTTCAGGAAATCGGAAGAATGACAGTAGATGCCAGTGGAGAAGTCAACACACCCGCTCCCGCACCGTCCACCTTTCCAGGGGCACACGCTGCTCGACAAATTCGCAGCTGAGCATGCAGCGCCGCTCGGTTCAAGTTTCAGACTACCGAGGCACTGGAAGACTTTCATGGCCTGTCCGAGCTGAGCTTCACCTGAAAGGAGTTCTTGCAGTGTATCCTGTTTAATTGCTCAGGATGTTACGAGATGCGCTTCACTATAGAGGCACACCGGGCGAGGCTTGGTCTCGAAAACGAAGGAACCGTTTGAGCTCCTCTCTGAGACGGCTCGCAAGGCCACGAAGCTGCTCGTGGAGAAGCAGGCCTTGAGCAGAAGTCTCATCACGTTTGGGCATATTCTGGCGGCAAAGCCCGGGCTTCGCCAGGAAGCTGCGGCCCAAACTTTGAAAGTGCTGCTGCAGCATGGCGCCATCCTCTCGGGGCGCTCGGTGCTGGCCTTACTCCAGAGAAGCACCAGGCCTCGCTTTGTGCAGATCTCCACAGGCCGCGGCGGCACCCTGAGAGCTGCACACATGGCCTGGCACTACAGAGGGGCGAGCCAAAACAAGCGCTGGCTTGAGATAAACCCTGCCAGGCTCTTGTCCAGGCTTTGTGGAAGGGCTACGGGGGCCAAAGTGCCCGCAATGCCATGGTGGAATCACGCTTGGGTCCAACTGGGGGCAAGAAAACGGCTTCCCGTTCGCATCAGGGGTTTGCCAAAGCCTCCTGAAACCGGCAAAGCCGCTAGCATGGCAGATGCGAGCAGTTGCATTGCATCGCGGTTTTCTTGCGCATGGATAATATCAGTTTGGGCTACATGCTGCTGTGCTTTGGACTCGTGTTTCAGCAATGTCTCAACAGAGCAGAAGCAGATGCAACCGAGCGGACAAAAGCGGCTTGGCTTGCGCCCTCGTTAGAAGCCAAGACGAAAACGCTAAGGAATGAATACCCCTAGAATTAAAAATTTGAAGATATCGATACAGGATTTAAAAAGAGGAATATCAGTAGATGAAAGACTAATTAAATAAGAAGTGTATGAATTGAAACAAGTATATAAGTTGCAATTTTTGGATTAAATAGTTTAAAAATTAATTTGTAATATATATTGACAGAGTACAGTTCTTTTAATTTTGAATTCCCCCGGAAAGAAAATGAAACTCTAAAAGTGGAAGAGGGAAGAAGATGAAACACCCCGAATGTGCGCCAGTTGCTATGCTCGTGCAAATTGTAAGCCCCAGACATCGTGAGCGGACGCATGAAAGGGAAGTATTGCGAAACGCTCACATAATTGGTGCTACATAAGATAGCTCCGAGAATTAAAAACTTGTATAATACAAGTTTTATTATAAAAGTTTTCATTTAAAAACTTAATCTTTGTATTAGTATATGGGTGATGAGCCTGAGTTCAAGCAAGATGTCATAATGAGACTTGAGAGGATAGAGAAATTATTAAATGAAAGGTCCACAAGAAACTTTAGCAGAACACCAGTTGACGCAACGTATGAGAATAAGAAGAACACATATTTGACTAAACTGAATAACAAGGAAAGTTTACAACCGAAACAAACAACCCTTGAATATTACAATATAAAGTATGACGAAGTGACGAAAACCTATTCATAATCATAATATTATCATCTAATAATAATGAGTGCGGTAGATGATAATATTGCTGTTGAGTTTCCTACTATTATATGTAAACAAGTAAAATGTGTAGATGGGTTTGTAAGTAAACATTCCAAAAGGGTATACAATAAAACTTGTAGGGCTTGTCTGGATGTTAGTAGAAAATCTAGGCTTAAAGGGAAGGAATGAGCGCAGCGAGTTTTCTTAGGAAATGTGTTTAAAGGAATGAAGTCTTAATATATCCAGTGTTGAAATGAGTGAAAGAAAATATTGTAGTAAATGTCAAGGACATCCGAAGATTGAAAAGTTTGAAGTAGGGCAAAGGAAAAAAGATACCAAGAGAGAAACAAAGAGAAAGTAGCAGAAAGAAAAAAAGCATACACAGAAAAACACAAAGAGCATATCAAAGAAAAAGAACATCAAAGGTTTCTAGACAATAAGGATGAAATAATTACATGCCCTATCTGTAGATATGACATAAAGAAAAAAGTCACAAACCCACCAGCATAACTTGAAACAACTAGAAGATACTGCAACGGAGAAACCGGAACAAATAACATCAACACAAAAGACATTCGCTGCATTATATGCAATAATGCACCAATGATAACTTAATAATAAAATTAAAGTATTATTGAATGCCCCACCCTACTACCCACACTATGCCCCATAAAATGAATAAACCTAACCTTGCCCATTTCGGGATGTTACATCACCTGAGAAATAGGATGAGATAGAGTATTTT